ATGAATTCGGATTCTGTTGCTGGCCCTGATGGTTTTACTACCATTTTTTTCCAAAAATGTTGGCATATCATTAAAGATGATTTAGTTAATGTTGTCATTGATTTTTTTAATGGGAACCAATATCCTAATTTTTTTACTTTTACTGCCATTGTATTGGTTCCTAAAAGTAATTCTACTAATTTTTGGTGTGATTACCGTCCCATTAGCTTGTGTTCCTTTTTCAATAAGCTCATTTCTAAACTTATTATGGCTCTGTTGGCTTTAACTCTTCCTAACATCATTTCCTTGTAGCAAACTGGCTTTGTTAAAGGTCAGTCTATTTTTTATAATGTTTTATTAACCCAATAACATGTTCATGATTTAGAAGCTAAAATTGCTGGTGGGAATCTCATTTTTAAGATTGACATTACCAAAGCCTATGATAATCTTAATTGGGGTTTTCTTTATACTATGCTCCATGCTCTGGGCTTTAACCAAGGTTTTATTAGACTTATTAAAAATAGTATTGAGCACTGCTTCTTTTCTGTGATTATTAATGGCAAAAAACATGGTTTCTTTAATTCTAGGCACAGTTTAAGGCAAGGGGATCCCTTGTCTCCTGCTCTGTTTATTTTGTCTTCGGAATTTCTTTCTAGAGGGCTGGATAAGCTCTTTAGAGATCACACGAATTTACAGTATCGTACTAAGGGTGGTTTTTTAGTTTCTCATTTAAGCTTGTGGATGATATTATCATCCTTACTAATGGTTCTAGAACTATGCTTAAAATCCTGTTTAGATTTTTTTGATATTTTCCAAAAGGCTAGTGGTTTATTCTTCAATCCTTCCGAAAGCTGCTTTATTACTATAGTCTGTTACTCAACCTAGAATTTCGACTATTCAAAATCAATATGGTTTTTTGCACAAGCTCTTACCTATTTAGTATTTGGGCACTTTGCTCTATAGAGGTAGAAAAAAATCTCATTTATTTGATGATATTGTGGATAATGTAAAAAAACTCTCTGTCCGGGCTTTCAATTTTTTATGGTTTGGTGGTAGATTAGTTTTGATCAAAAGTGTTCTTTGCTCCATTCCTTTATATTTGTTTCACACTCTTGATCCTAATAAGAACATTTGTTTGAAGCTTGAAATGATGTTTAACAAATTTCTTTGGGGGGCGAAAGAGGGCAAATCTGCTATTTTGTGGGCTTCTTGGAAAAACTGCTCGGGGGTTCAAGACGAAGGTAAGTTGGGTTTTAAATCTATCAGTGATATGGATTGTTGCTTTTCGTACAAACTTTGGTTTAATATGAGATCTAATATTAGCCTTTGGTCTAAATTTATGATTGAGAAATATTGTGTTTGTAAACACACCCTAACTGGTTTTTTTAAAAGTGGTGATTCTACCATTTGGAAACGTCTTTGTGCTATTAAGTGGGAGGCTGAGAATTTTATTCAGTGGGGTCTTGGGTGTGGGAAGATTTTTTTCTGGCAAGACAATTGACTTGGTTGTTCTTCTATTGATAATCTGCTCAATACTAGTTCCAATTGTTTGGTTAAAGTGGCTAATTTTTATCAAGATGGTATGTGGAATTTATCTCTTCTTGCTGATATGGTTCCTAGTTTTATTTTAAATCTTATTATTGTTGTGCCTCTTCAACTTGAGCAAAATGATTTAATTTTATTTAATATGTCTAATGATGGGTCTTTTGCTGTTAAAGATGTGTGGCATTCTATTAGGCCTTCGTTTCCTAAGTCTGTTATCCTGTCTAATTGCTGGCAAAAAGGTATTCTTGCTTCCTATTCTATCCTGTTATGGAGGATCATGAACAATTATTTGTCTATTGATACTATTCTTATGAAAAAAGGTTTTTATATAGTTTCTAAATGTCAATGTTGTTTTCATATGGAGAATATGAATCATGTTTTTGCTAATGGTCCGGTGGCTATAAAAGTTTGGCTTTACTTTGATAATATGTTTGGGGACCACTTTTGTAAGAATTATAATAACATCCTTAATATTTTGCATGATTGGACATTTCCCATTAAGAAACATATTAGAAATGTCCTTCCTGCTATCATTTGTTGGTTTCTTTGGAAAGGCAGGAATGAGTCTAAACATGAGGCCACCAAAATGAATGCTATGTCGCTCATCACCCAGATTAAAGATAAAGTTAGATGCATTTATGGTGCTAAGCTGATTACTTTTAACTATTTTCATCGTTACCATCATCTTGCTAAGGCTTTTGACATTGCGGTGGAGGCTTCTTTCTTGCTGCCTCCTAATCGTATCTTAGTTAGATGGATTAAATCTTCTAGTGGCTATTACAAGTTAAATATTGATGGTGCCTTTAGCAATTTGAAAGTTGGTTGTGGGGGTATTATTCAGGATTGCAGGGGTAACACGATTATGGCTTTTGCTGGTCCCTCTGTTATTAGAACGGCTTGTTTGGCAGAAATTCTGGCTCTTAAGTATGGGTTAAATTTATGCAACACTCTTGGGATTACTAATGTGTGGATTGAATTGGATGCCCAAACTATTCTTCATTACATTTCTGGGGAAGGCTCGGCTAATCCTCTTTATTTCTACATTATTAGAGAAATCAAATTTTTGTTGTCTTCTTTTAACTTTATTTTATCTCATATTCAAAGAGAAGGCAATGTGGCGGCAGATTTTTTAGCTGATTTGGGGGGTAATTTGAATGATTTTATGGAATTTACTAGTACCTATTTACCTCCCAAATTAGTTGGCATCAATCATTTGGATCAGGTGGGTACGCCTTACATTTGATTGGGGTAAGGTGTTTTATTTTGTTTTTCTGTGCTGCCTTTTCTTGGTGGCTTTGGGTGTTCTTGGTTGTGCTGTTGGGTTTCTTTCCTATCAGTTATGTTTCTCCTTCTACTCTTAGCTATTGGTTTTGTTCACTCAGTTTTATCTTTTTTCATTTGTTATATTGGTTTCATTATAACAGGTTGGATATAATATCTTCCTTGGTTAGTAATTTATCCAGGTTTCGACTGTTTGTTTGGTTCCATGACATCCTTCTGTTTTCTGCTACCATTTCTGCTCTTATGGTTGTTTATGCTATGCTTAACTTTCTTGGGTGGTGTTGGTATTGCACTGTTGGGTGGGAGTGCATTTTTGTCTGCTGGTTGGCTGTGATTTGTATTCTTATTGGGAAAATTATTCAGTGGACTGCTCAATTGCTGAATACTGGGGGAGCATTGATTATAACTGGTAAGACTTTTGTTTCTACTGTTATTTTTCCTTTAGTGTTTTTTGTTATCCTTTTGCAGGGTTGCTTCCACCTTGAGGGAGTTTTTGGCAAGAAAGCTTGGGCTGATTGGATATCTATTGAGCTTTCTCATTTTTGGGCACTTTTTTGTGCCGCTTTAGCATGTTTCTAGGCCTTATTGTATTTTGCGTAGATGGGGATCTTCGGCCCTTAGGTTTTTATTTCTTTTTGTTTGATTGTAGCTCTTCGAGCATTAGCGGGCTGAAAATCTCCTTAAGGACTTGTAATTTTGACTTTAATCAACGCGTAGGCCCCTCCGTGGGTTTAACTTAAAAAAAAAAAAAAAAGCTTGGGCTGCATTTTTGGGTTTGGCTGCTTACCTTTCTTTTTCTATTTTCCTATTGTAATCAAATATGGATCCATTTCTCTCAAGTTTTCTTTTCATTTTTGATTTAGCTCTTCAAGTATTTAGCAAGTTTTGGATCCCTCTAAGGATCTGTAATCCTTATTTTGATATTAACATATAAACCCCCATGTAGATTTCTCAAAAAGAAAAAAAAAAAAAGCCTAGTAAATATGCTTAAATTTTGATTGTGTACTTGACCTTTCATATTAAGTAATCAACAAATAATTTTACAAATGTATGCAAACAAACACTTGAATAATTTTAATATTATCATCTAATTATATTACACTATTTAAATAACATAATATAAATTTTAAGTTGCAAATATATTTTCTTTTCACTTAGACTTCTCAGCATTCAAACAATGTCTTAGATCGTCTTAAAAAATCCTAAATTGATTAATCAACTTATTAAATAAGTTATTAAAGTAGATTATAACTTGATCCATCTATGATATAAAAATATCAAAAATGATAATGAGAGCAACCATTTGGTAAATCTAATGCTAGTTTTATGATCTAGAAAGCTTTTAGGTTTAGTTGATTGAAGGACTTTGTCATTTCTTCATATGCTACCATTAGACAAAGCTTGCTTAAGCTTCCTTCAATTTCTTCCCCTTCAAATGTTTAAATTTGCTTAACCATCATATTATATATATATATATATTCTTACTATTTTTTAAAATAGCTCTCTAGTACAAACATTAATTATTCAAAAAAATTTAATGCTAAAAAATGGCTTTAAAAAACAGTAAGAAAGTTGTCCCAAACGAAATCTTAAACATCCAATCTCCTGCTTTTTGCATGATGCCACTAAACCCACTTATAGCATTTATTTATAACAAAGCAAGTTGATTAATATGATAAATTTGATAGAATAGCTAAAATTGTAATACAATTTACTAAATTGAATAATAATATAATAAAATAGTGCTTATATGTAAGCAACATAAACGAGTAATAAAAGAAAATCAAATGAATAAAAAAATTGATAATAATGAGAATATTTTATAGTAAAAATTATTATAAATATTAGATATTTACATGCATACCACTTTATTTCATACTATTTACATATCTAATATCTAAAATTTTAATAAACATGTCTACCACTCATAGAACAAATCGAGTGCATGAAATGAAATACGGTAAGGATGAAATATAGAAGTGATATATTTGATATTAAAATTTTACATAAGTGATAGAAATGTATATTAAAATTTTAGGTATCATATATGTAAATAGCATGAAATAAAATGTTATGCACATAAATCCTCTATTTTAATATTTATGTGCCAATGAATTATTCTAATATTTCTAAAACATTTTACAATATATCTTATATATTAATTTAGCTAGGCTTTATATCTACCATACAACTAATCATCCTCTTTTTCTCAACTTCCGCGAGATAAAAAAGCCTGTGGAGAACACCACCAGAGCCAAAGTAATGAACTTTTTATTTCTGTAGACTTTCTTTAACACATCATCTATGAATGCGCCATCCAACCAATCTAGCCAACCTTTGTCTTCCTCATTCCAACGCCAACTTCTCTTTTTGCTTTCTTTCTCCTTCGGTTGCTTCTCTCGCACTCTCGTCTCATGGCAATATCTTGGTTTCCTAGTCACAGCATCTTCCCAAGTCTCTTCCTTTTTGCCAGAGTCTTCTCTCTTATCTCCATCAAAACACTTATGCTTATCTTTCTGAATTGTTTCATGCTTCTCTTCAGTGTCCTGTTTCTCCTTCTGTACTATGTGTTCTTGCTTCTGGTAGAAAGTATAAATATTAGCTATAAATATTTAAGAGATAGTTAACGTAGAGATAGTATAATACCTTTATTTCATTAGGGTCTGCTTCATCTTTTCTTTTTTCCCAGATTGGCTCTTGCATGGCCATTTCTGTCTTCATTGGCTCTTCTTTCATCTCTTTAAGCACTGTTGATTCTTTCCTCTCCTCCTCGGCTGTCATTGGTTTCTCCTTTGGTACTACTGGTTTTTCCTTAATCTCTTTCAGAGGTTCTTCTTGTTTGCTTTCCTCTGCAAACATCTTTGATTTTTCCTTTAATGCAGATTCTTCTTTCTTTTCTTCCATTGCGTTTGGCTTCTTCTGCATTGCTGGTTCTGTTATCTTCTCATCAATGTGCTGCATTGCTTCGATTTTATCTTTGATCACTGCTTCTTCTTTCCTCTCCTCCTCAGCCAGCACTGGTTTCTCCTTTGGTACTGTTGGTTTTTCCTTAATCTCTTTCAGAGGCTCTTCTTCTTTTCTCTCTTCTACAACCATCTTTGATTTTTCCTTTAATGCCTGTTCTTCTTTCTTTTCTTCCAATCTGTTTGGCTTCTTCTGCATTGCTGCTTCTTTTATCTTTTCATCAATGCGCTGCATTGCTTCGCTCATTACCTGTTCATCTATTTTTTCTTTGATCTCCGGTTCATCTTTCTTCTTCTCCTCAGCAACCACTGGTTTCTCCTTTGGTAATGATAGTTTTTCTTCTTCTTTCCTCTCCTCTGTAACTATTTTTGCCTTCTCCTCTAATACTGGTTCTTCTTTCTTCTCTTCAGAAGGCTTAACAGCGATGATCTTTGGAATGGTTAAGGCAAGGATGTTGTTCTCTAATACTCCACTAATCTTTTCAAGGTTTGAATCTATTGGAACGTTGTAGGAGGACTCAAACCTAGAAAATCTGTTCTCACCCACCTGCTTTGTTCCTCGGACCGTTATCTTTCCGCTCTGGTCATATATGACATTAAAGTCCTCTGTTTTGAATACTTAAAAAAAAAATGGTTTGAATTTGTTAGTGTAGATTATACATTTTTCATTGCTTCACATTAAAAGAAAAATAAAAAATATTTGACAAAAATTTAATGAGATGAATTTCAAAATCCTTCATTTGAGAAGGATCAATTAATAATTTAGAGATCTATTTCAAATAAAATTTACTCGAATATCCTCTTTTAAAATTTTCATATGAAAAGAAATTTTAATAGAAATTTCAATAAAATTAATGCAAAGAAGAAGCAGGACGGAACCAGCTTTACTTTTGAGGGTGAGTAAAGCTGCTGTAAGGAGTATAAAGAATTAGCACAGATGGCGGGGGCTTTTAGTTGGTTCCATGGGAGGCGGAGTTCAAGCAACAATCCAATAAAGTATGAACGGGAGCAAAAATAGCTCACACATGAAACAAATGATTGGGCCTGTGTGAATTGGGAGAGATTATTACGTGCGAAGTCCGGATGGCAGAACTGTTTGATTTTTGTGAGTGTGCACAGTAAAATTGCAGTAAAAGCAATATTACTATTCACCACTACGCTTTTACTGCACAAACTCACAAAAAACTGGACGTAGATTCGGTTAGACTAAGCTTGTAATAATTTCTCGTGAATTGGTTCGCGGCTAGATTGGACAAAATTATTTAAGATAGGAAAAAAAAATTTACAGCGGAGGAAAATTTTCGAAATTGCCCTCCGTTATAAGCAAAACTCAATTTTGAGAGTGGACAATTGCTTACCCTCAAGTCAATGCAGTTCCACCCCTAAGAAGAAGCCAATGCACTGGGCTTTTAAAACAGATTTATATAAAAAATTGATTAATTATAAATCTCAAAATTTATATTTTGAATACAATTATAAAAATAATAAATAGATATGGATACTATTACTTTGAATTTTATTAATAAAAAAATTAATTTGCACAGTAATGGATTTCAACATTCAAAATTACTTCAAATGCTTCTTTTGAATAATCAGATTCATTGTTATAATAATCAAATAATTTTTAATTTATTTTTCAATAATCACAAATAGTTAATAGTAATTATATTCATAATTGAGAAATAAATATTATTTTATTAGTAAAATAAAATATTAATAATTCATTAAAAGCTTTCAAAGTATTCATAAACAACAACAAAATAACATTCTCTTATTGCAAATTTTTGAATTTTTTGACTTCATTTGGGATTGTTTTTTTACTGTTTCTTGAAGTAATTTTTTAATATAAAAAATTATTTTAAAAAATAGTAATAAAGGCATCCCAAATAAAACCATTATAAAAAATAATTAATTTTTATGTTTCAATTAAAGAAAAGTTCTTACCTTGGGGAAGATATAAACGGAGGATGTAGTTGGAGGGTTCTTGGATCCATTCTTCTCGTGGCTTGAAGTCATCAAATATGGGCTGAGGTGGTGGACGAACTCTCCTTTGGGGTCTCCTTGTAAGCATTTTTGCTTGAAGAACTGATATCGTAGGGCTTGGTTTATGATAAGAGAGAGTCGCTCACAAAGGCTTTTGAAGAGCTTTGGAGTTGTTGATGGATATATAGGAAGATTAATTACACTACAAACAATACCAAGTTTTTCTCTTGAATTAATGGTTTTCTTGTGGCCTCTTTATTCCATGAGGGTGTGAAAGAGAAGGTAAATGTTGTTCCTTGCGTTAGAAAGCTCCTAAAGTGAAGAAATCTTCTCTTTCAAGGGAGAGTGGTGGTGTACTTTAGATAGGATTTAAGTAAAATTTAGCACCATAGATTAAATTTAGTTGTAAAGAGAGTTTATTGTTTTGACATTGAAGAAAATTTCACACAAGTATAGATAACATAAGGTATGAGCATCTAATAAGAGATTTGAGAAATTTTACTTAAGAAAATACTTGGCAAACTTAACATGGTTCCACTAGTGAATGTCATATATTATAAATGACGAACTTTCCAATAATTTAAAAATACATTAACACAATATAGTAGATAAGAATGGTCGAAGATGTTCAACCCAACTCCATACAATATGCTATGCTAAAACTTAATTAATATGATTTTAGTATGTTGTAGTTACTAACATACACATCGTACCATCCATTTTCTTTTCAAATAGAATAGGTGCACCCAACGGAGACATATTAGGATAAAAAAACCTTTATCAACCAACTCGTGAAGCTCCTTATGTGTGATCCTATAAGGAGCATTATAAATTGGGTTCGTACCTATTTGATTAAAAAAAATGTTGTTGGAGTTTCGAAAAAGATTAATTTTCTTTAAGAATATTAAATTTCTAAAATTTTAATTTTAAGATCGAATACATTATTATGAAAGATTAATTTTAAGAATATTGAATTTATGAAATTTTAATTATATCACCTCGAAAGGTGAACATATCATTCCCTAATAAGTTCAAATTTCATAACTTTAAGTTCATCTTGATTATCATAGTCAGATTCAGAAACGAAACACATATGACCCCAAAGGGTCATAATGATATTCGATCTAGTATTTAACTATGCTAATCTAGATAAAATGATCATTAATTTCATAATCAAAGTTATGATAATAGAATGATGTATCTTCACGAGGAAAGATGATATTGTATATTATCGATCATTTGAAAATGATGATAATGATATCATAGTATTTGATTTTCACAAAGATAATCAGTTACAATTTTGAAAACTTGATTTTGAAAATTAATCTGAATTTCTAAATCTCCTAAGAGCGTAAGCCCTCGTAGATAATTACATCATAAAAAATAGGAGTTTCCTACGAATACTCTCGAATAAGATAGTGGTAAAATTTTCATTTAGAATTCAAAGTTTGATATCAAAGAAGTGAGGATTGAAATTCAACGGGGATTGGATCAAATTAGAACACTTATTTATGGAGGCCAAAGGAAAAAAAAGTAGGAGGTAATTGGGATTCTGAAACAATTTAGAAATACCTCAATTGACCCTATATCTTGGGCTTAAAGTTTGATTGAAAGATTTAAGTTAAATTGCCAATTTTATTAGATGGTTTGGATTCAATTCCCGATTATTAAGGTCTTATAGCATGAGCCTACCTCAGAATCTAAATCTAAATTGGGTAATGAAAATCAATGACTCGAACCTAACAAATAAAATGCAAAATCTGAACTTATTCCGGACAGAATTAGGGAACCAGCTAACCACCTAAGCACTTTAAAACCATGAATCTGGTCTTTAATGAAAGAGTAGGTAGGGACATTTAATTAAGTTCAATTTGAGGAATTGGGGGCGACATATAAAGCAAATCCTAATTTGCCCCTTAACATATGTTGGGTATTATGAAACTTGAAATAAACTACAATTTATTTTTTTAGATACTTTTTAATTTATATCTAATACAATGCATACAAATTGACTCAATTAAAATGCATAAATTTGAATGAAGCATTTTAAAAAATCAAGTGTTTGATTAAAAAAAGGTTACAGTTTTAAAATATTAATTTTCTTTGGAAAAGATTAATTACTAGAATTTTAATTTTAAAATTGAGCGCTTCAGTATGAATAATATAACGCCTCAAGAGATGAATATATCGTTCTCTAATGCGTTTAAATTACAAAACTTTGAATTCATCCCGATTATAGTTGTCAAACTCAGAGAAAGATGATATATGGCCCCAGAGAGTAAAAATAAAATTTGATCGACTATTTGACTATATTAATATGGATAAAAGGTTCATTAATTTATAATTAAAATTATTATAGTAGAATGATATATCTTCCTAAAGAAAGAAGTTATCTTTTACTATCAATCATTTGAATATGATGATAATGATCATTAAATTTGATTTTCCCCAACATAATTAATTGAAGTTTTGAAAATTTTAATTTTTAAAAAATTTATTTGATATGGGTTTCTAAATATCTTATGAGTGCAAGCCCTCATAGTTAATTAAATCATAGGAAACTAAAATTTACTACGAATACTCTCGATTAAAATAGTGGTAGTTAGAAATTTTATTTTTGAGATTTCAAAGCTTGATGTCAAATGAGGTGAGGATTAGAATTTTTAAATGGGATCGAATCAAAGTTGATCACTTATTTCTAGAATCAAAGGAGGAAGAATAAGAGGCACCCGGGATTCTGAAATAATTTAGAAGTATCCTAGTCTATCATAAGTATTGGACTTGAATTTGATTTAAAGATATTTAGGTCTAAAAGGTAAATTTTATTAGAATGTTGGGATTAGATTCCCAGAAGGCTGAGGTCATATAGCCTGAGCGTGCCTTAGAACCTTAGTCTAAATTGGGTATTAAAAATTTATAGCCCAAACTTAGCTAATGCAATGCAAACCTGTACTTATCCCAACTTGGATTAGGGGCCAGCTAAACCACCTAGGTGCTTCAAAATCGTATATCTGATCTTTTATAAAAGAGTGGTTAGGGACGTTAATTTGATTGAGTTTAAGGAGTTGGGACCGACATCTATAATATATCCTAATTTAGCCCCTTGATATATGTTGGGTGATTAAAGCTTAAAGTAAATGCAATTATAGATTTAGACACTTTTAAATTTGTATCTAAAGTAATGCATACAAATCTACTCGATAAATACTTATAATTGGAATGAAGCAGTTTTTAAATAAAAAAACTTAAACAAATTTTTATTTTAGAGAATGTACATATCATAGGCTAGGTGGTGTGCCAAAATACATAGGTGAGAAGGTGTCTATTCAAGGAAGAGAAGATTTGATATGAATGCATGAGAGACACTCGATAGTGTCGGGCTTACTTCTTAAAGCGTTAGAGTTTTTTATATGAGCTAAAAATGTTTAATTTATTTAAGTAAAAGAATTTTCAATTGTACCCTCACGAGTCTCCGATCAAATTCCAGGCTAAATCAAAATCAACATATAAGAAATAAAGTTTAAAAAACATATAATTTCTACTGTATAATTAATTAAATAAATAAATTAAATTTAAATACTCAAATTGAATGGTCATGTGGCAAGTGCCACTTAATATTATAAATCAAGGTTTACATGAATGTAAAGTGGTCGGGTACCACTAACAATAAGCTCATATTTTTAATCCTAAGAGTCAAGTGACTTTAAGAATGGATCGTTAGGTTCTGATATCCAAATAAAAAGAAACTCCATTGGAATGGAGTGTTATCTTTTTATTTTTTGGATATTCTAAAATCATCTTAATTTAGATCTCGAAATGGAGAGGGACTCTCCCCTAAGGGATGTCCCTTCCTCTTTGGATTTCAAATTGGGTGCTATATCATTTCAAATTGTCACTTTGACATTTATAACTCAATGCATGAATTAAATTACATTTAAAAAATTAAAATTTAGACTTGAACAACCTATAGGGTTATCCTAAATAGTTATAATTAAATCAGACCAAATAGTTAATATTAATAAAAAAATTAAATGCTTAAATTACACCCACACTTATCCATGCTCTTTTTATTTTGAAAGGGGGGCTTAGAACAGCGAGCACCTATGGTAATTTAATATTTATGATTTTTGTCCCCTTTTATTTTTAAATATCCTATATGATCATGACAACCTATATAAGATTTAATTAACAAATAAATCATCCCTAACTTAGCGATAAATCTTACGCCCATCAATTATATCATAGAGTGCATAAATTAAGTAAACAATAAATCAATCTAAACTGACAACCAGCATGCAGTGAAAACTAAGGAAAACTTAACACACAGTAGAAAAGTAAATACCTACCTAGCCTAAGACTAGAATTGGTTATCATAGCAAACTACCTAAAATGTGTGAGGTAGGCTGTGTGGGTTGGATATGTCCCATATAGGATAATTGGTTAAAGTTGTTTAAAGTTCTAGTTGCTTGAAGGCTCAAAGGATTTAAGTTTGAGTTTCAATATTAATGGCTTAATATTGATCATGATTTCAAAATGTATTTTGAATATTGATTGATTGCCACTTTTGTTGCTCACTGAGACCGTAAAGTTTATTTCACCTTTCTTAGGGCAAAATTAAAAGCCTCGTAGATTTTGGTTACCTAGTGGTAACTGGTATAATTAAGTGATTTGACTTGATTAAAATTTGAAGGTTGATAAATTTTGATTAAGGATGATTTATTACTAAATTTAAAGTTAAATTAATATTTTTTAAAAGTAAAGTATTTTGTAGAGATTTGTATTTAAGCATTTAAATCTTTCACACAAAGCCTTGTTCTTAATGTACTGAAAGTATCAAAGACTAGTGGTTTTGTAAAAATGTCTACAAGTTGATTTTCTGTTGTAACATGAATGAGTTCAATTTCTTCTTTGGATACATGATCCCATATGAAATGATGTCTGATGTCTATATGTTTGGTTCTTGAATATTATATAGGATTTTTAGAAATGCTAATAGTACTACTATTATCACAATAAATGGGAATAGTGAGTATTGTTAATTCTAAATCAATCAACTATTATTTCAACCAAAGTACTTGTGCTACACAA